ACCCATTCAAAATTTTCAAAGAATTCTTTAAATTTGCTAGGGAATTTCGCCAAAAAAGTGAGGACCTTTTTTTTTTTTTTTTTTTTTTTTTTTTTGGGATTTTTTTTGTGGGGGGGGGAAAAAAAAAAAAAAAAAAAAAAAAGGAAAAATTTTCGCAAAATACAATTCACTTTTTTTGCTTACCCCTCTCGATTTTTTTAAAATACCCCCCCCCCCCCTTAAATTTTTTCCTTGAGGACGTATGACTTTTTTGGTCCAAAATTTGTGAAAAAACGTGAATGAGAAAAATATCGATTCTAAGGTAATTTTTCATGCTGATTCCGAATTTTTAGGTTTCAGGTCAAAAAATTCCACTCCTTCATAGTGAGCCTGATAAATGAGACACCCTGTATATAAGCGGTCAGATGGTGAATGTTACTTTTGTGTTTTTGGCGCAAGTCCGTTGGTATTTTCCAAATCAGGCAGTGTGATGTTCGATGAGTAGCTGTAGAGATGAGCGTTTGGCGTAAGCGGAGACATTTGATAATCAATGCCACCTTTAATATTATTATCAAAATCTTCTTCCATTTCGTCGCTATTGTGACTTTTGCTGGTCGGTTCATCGAAACTTTGACATGAGCATGTGCGAATTAATTTATCATTCATTTCACAACGATCACAACCACCCAAACCACTATCGGCAATTTTCGAATGATCTTCATCTTCATCGCCAATCATTTCTGCCGTTTTCATATCATGATTGCTGTGAAAACGTGCTTCGCTTGGCCAGTACGTGCAATTGCTTTCTTTGGACGGTGTACTGTTGATTTTGTCAGTTTTTGCGTTGGTCATGCATTTTGTCATATTACGACAGCGTTCAATTAAGTTCAATGCGCCAATTTTTTCGGCCAATTTTTGCATTTCCAATTGTACGTCTTTCTCTTTGAATTCCAAACTGAGCAAATGATGTAGTCGTACAGCACCTTCGATTCTTTCACGAATCACTTCGAGACGATCGCTATATTGGCTCAAATTCTGTTTCAAACATGTACGTAACTCTTTTGCACTCTCCATATTCAAGGTGGCTTCTTCGAGGTCACGTCCTTTAGCTAAATGTTTCTGCATATGGAGAAAAAAAAAGAGAAGATAATGATGATGATAACGAAACGAAATAAATCTATTTTGAAATGGACACTAAATGTGACTTATAAATGTGTGACAATGTACCATTGATATGAAATAAAACTTTTCGAATTCATGTTCACAATCCTTAATTGATGTTTCCGAGTCTAATGCAATGTCTGCATACTTTTTCAGCATACTTTCACCATCATTCTGTATCCATTTAGTAATCTGAAAACCATAACGAATGGATAAGTAATAAGAAGAATGAACAAAATGAAAAAAAAAAAAAAAAAAAATGAGAAATTCATCGAGTCGGTGCACTTTCGATTTTGCGGTTTATTTCCAATAAAAAATGACGGCTTTGCCAGTTCAGTAATTCACTAGCTATTGATTTATTCATTTTGCCATCAATGGCAAATGCTTGTTTATCAATCTTACATTTATTCAATAATTATCAAGTTGTTCATTTAAAAGGCAAACACAAACACAACATAAATCGATCGATTGAAATTTGTACAATCTCACACAATTCTTTTTAATTAACCATAGAAAATTGACAAGAATATGTTGTTTACCACTTTTGTTTTGTTGTTTATTTCCAATATATCAATAGATAAATTTGTATGCGCGCGCACAATGCAACTGCGTACACAGTTGGAATTGATAATCGCTAAACGCATAACAATTTGAAATGCATGTTTTTCTCTTTTCTACTTTCGGAATAAATATTTACGACATATGACTATAAAATTTCGATGCACTTTATCTAACGCTTTTAAAATGAGTGAAATCATTTAAAACAAAGTAATAAATTTTGACTTTTCAGATGTGTGTGTGTAAGAATGACAACAAACACGACTGTCGCCACAGACAGGCGCCTATTGTTGATGAAATTTCAAACAATGTCTTTTCCATGATGTTTTCTCTCTCCTTCTCTTCAATTAAAATCGAAAATATTTACCTCTTTCATTTCTTCTTCTAGCGCCTTTTGTCGTGTTATTTCGCGTAACCTTTCACGTCGCTGTTCTGTCAATTGCTCCAGTCTTCTTGATGCCCTGTCGACTTCACCGAAAATTGACATAACCTCCTTGAGTCGATGATAAACGTGCCGATTTGAATATTCGGCAGTGAATGCAGACGAATCGATGGTCATATTATGATTTGTATTAGATTTATCATTACTCGAAATACTTTTGGCCAAACTTTGTAATCGTGTCAACGTGATTTGACCTTTTCGCCGCAAACATTGTAGATCCGAATCCATAAGAGCTCGACTGAGTGCACGATGCTGCGAATACAATTGTCGTCTTGATGGCATACCCAAACTATCCGTCAACCTGATTTCGTTCATAACAGCAACCAAATCTTGACCCACTGACACACACTGATTCCGAAGCAATTCCAATGTTACGAAAAATTCACGCCACAATGATTGATTGTGTATGTATGCACCGTTACAGATCTTTGGCGCAAAAACAGGTGCAATATGATCAAATAATTCAATAACATGAAGTATCTAGAAATGATAATAAACAATTATTATTCGAGACATTTAAGAATTCTAATTTTTCACTCAAAATTACCTTGATCTTGCTTAATGGCAAGTGGAATTGTAACTTATCATTTGTGAACAATGTTGATACCAAAACGGAATCAATATGAATATGGCCGGTGAGTAAATTGAATGCATTGTCTAGTAAATTAAATATGGGCAATTGATTGCTATCTGACACAATCGCATGAAGAGTAAACTTCGATGGACTGAAGAAAATTAAGAAAGAAATATTTAAATTGAATTCCATAATGTTGAGAGTTGAACGTTCGTTAAATATACTTACTTCGTTGGTATCGTATTATAGTAAAGAATTAATGTGGCGACTTCATAACAATTCAATCCTGATTCCATTAGAATTTTTGTCTCAATGGTTATAATGGGGAATCCATTAAGGTCATGAGTGTCTGTGAAGTAAGAAAAGTTATGTCAAAAAGAGAAACGGAATTAATGAAATGAAATGGTTGTCCTTTTTTATTATGAAATCATGATCTTGTCATGCAAAAATCTTCAAGCAATAAGATGAATTTGTTCAAATTGAATCATCGGTGAATTTCATTTTAAAGAAGATTATTGTGATTGCATAAACATGTTTTAAACTTTTCGTCGGCTTGGACCGCACCCTATTACAGTATTTAGATATGAAATTAATCTGTGCATTCTTCGTGTCATTGCACCAAAGATCGCATTTGGCGTTTGAATTGACATTAAAACCATTTATCCAAACTCGTTAAAAATCATGCTTAAGAAAAGGAAATGGATTGCAACAGACCACAAAATGAAAGCAACTAACAGATTAAAAGAGACATTTTGGCAAAAAGTAAGAGTTTGAGAGAATGTAAACAAAAATGATTAACCGTCTGTTGTTGTTGTTTTTTTTTTCTAAGAATATCCGAGAGTCGGGTATGCTGTAAAATCAACAATATAGATGTCTACATACATTTGTTTTGAATGTAGTATATGTTTTTTTTTTCTCTTCACAATCCATTCACGTCAAACGAAACAAAACCGCATAGAATGCATGTCGTTTTACCAGTGCCATAATGTCGGTATATATCGGTATAAGTTATGTTCACAGATCGTTTTCAGTTTTCAGTTATCCGACTCTCTGACAATGAATGAATCACGAATGAAATGAAAAATGCAAACCAAAAATAAAAAATAATGCAAATACAAAAAGAAAATACAGAATAATCATCAAGTTTAACAGTTGCAAACGTGCGATTTTCACTTGAGCGACTCTTAACACTTTGAAAATCGGTTTCCAAAGTCGTGACGTAAATGCAACTTGCAATCACCAAAATAAGTGAACGATTTAATCCTTTCTTATTTATTTTTGTTTACGATATTTATCTGTGTGTGTGTGTTTTTTTGTGTTATCGCGCTCGAGTGAATCGGCGTGCTTGATTCCATCGTTGTAGTTTGTGTGTATCTCTCACCGTGTCTTCAATCACTTTATGTTGAAATAAATTTATATCTTATATTTGGATTGTTTATTTGTTGATAGTTAATAATCTTACCTGATAAATATACTCCGGACGTTAACAATTTCTCAGGCAAGTCTGTTATTGACCTCGGCCCCGGGGCCACTATGTCATGTTGATGGCAAGCTTCTGTAATGAAAGAAACAAACGACATAAAGAACACGTCAAAGGAGGGCGAATATGTGAAGCAGCGATTAGAAGCTACCAAATTAAATGGAATATTTTAAGAAGACAATAACATTTAGACGTGGCCATTTTATGTGCCGTTCGTATGGAAGGATCTGAAATAAGGTGTGCGCGGTGGGGCATATGCAAGTGAATTTCTAGAAACATAGCATATTGGACATATTGTTTAGCTCAACATCTATTTGACTTGTAAATTTTAACGTTGAGATTTTGGTTTAGAAAATACATGAACCACTTCTATCAATTTAATCATTAGTTTATGCCCAGCCGTTGATCTTTTTTTGTTCTACTTACTTATGCATGAGTTTTTTTTTTTCTCTAGAAGCGTTAAATAAATGTAACATTTTCGAAAATAGCGTGCAATATTCTTGGCATATTGAGCTACATTTTGCTTTTTTTTCACCCAATTTTGTGTGTGGGAATCATATTATATGCAAATCAACAAAGGAAAATTGGTAATGATTTTCGCTAAATCAAATCATTATAATTTATGCAGCTGCATATGCCCGGTGTGCGCCATTCCGTTCTTTCTCTTTCTCTCCCGTTCTGTACTTAGATACGGAATTAAAACCTTACGGAACTTACGATTGTTCGGTGATTTTGTACCATCGTCGGCACTATCTTCATCGCTATCGATATGTGGAAATGATCCGCCCAGGCAAAATAGTGGCATCATATTGTTTGGTGTATTGATATTTCTTGTAGCTGCTGATGACGTTGATACATCAATATCTCTATTTTCACGATTGTCCGTACTCGATTTGATGGATATTCGTCTTAATGTATAACGGCTTTGTAGAGGTTTACTTTTTGTTATGATTTCACGACGTTTGATTCCACATTTGGGCGAACCATCACTGGAATTACCTAAATTCGATCGACCAGCCGTGTCCTTCCATTTATGATTATCGATTTCATCATCGTCGGTATATTTTGGAAAAGCCAACTCATCGAATGGAATCCGACTAATCGTTTGCTCGACACTGACTAAAAGTGATTGTAGCAATTGTGGCAAATCGTCTGAGGTCAACATTTCCAATGAAATTGAAGTCAATGAATTATTTGGATTCAACGTTTGATATACAATTTTTTGTGTTTTGAACGATCGCCAAACGGCACACAAATCCACGTGGCTCTTCTCGTTAAAATAAACCTCGGTTGGTTTTAAACACAAATAGATATCGGTCGATGTTACAAACGATTCACTTAATGTGCCCAGATGCAGAATCACTTTTCCGGCAATGGCAAGTGGCCAACCGTCTACACATACTGTATTCTGAAATAAATAACAAAACGAAACAATGATTCGAAATTAAAAAAATTATACTGAACAACATTTACATATTTTTAATTATTATGAGAAATGGGATGCTGCTATTTTCGGACCCTTTACAGCACATTATACCGAATGGAAACATAAAACGAAATATAAATAAAGATTGATATTGCAAAGTGGAAAAAAACCAATTATCTCAAATCGAACGATGTGGTTAATGGTTTTCACCATATATCCAAAATGGAATTAGATACTTTTTCTCCCGTTAACTAAAAAAAAACTCTTAAATCCGATGTTTTTTTCATATGGACAAATATTCAGACTGAAAATGATCACCAAAATAGGGGTCCAATGTTTATCTGTTTCTCTATGAAATACAAATTGAATTTTACGTAAAATCATCAACACGTTAAAAAAACGAAGTTTTACTCTTTTTCTTTTCTCCAGTCAACACGTGTACGGGCCGGGCCCATTTTTGTGCAAACGATGATAGATAGGGTAATTTTTATGATGTGTATGAAATGCGAGCGCACGATTTGTCCATAGAATATACGCATTAAACGTTGCAACAGTGATGAGATCATAAAAAGTGTTCGCTGTTCATACAGAAAGTTCATTTCCCTGTGATTACATTTACCGCAAACATGTAAACATTTTGAATAGGGGATCTTTTGTCGCATTATAACCATTGTTATTTGCTGTAAAAACATTTATTGTTTAATCTTTTAGTGTTCGGCTTAGCTTCGTTTCAAACGGTTCAACATTTTTATTTTTGATTTTGTGTGTCACATTGCTGTGCCTTCCACAAAATCGGTTACTATTGTTTATTTCTTAGTTTTTTTTGTTATTTCGAATCTTTTTTGTTTATGAATCATATTAAATATCATGCACAATTCATGGAATGAAATTTCCAACTCAGTTTTTTACACCACAAATTATTTTGCACTGTGCAATATGATCATTTTTACAAAATGAAAAATGAAAACTACGGCACATGGTTAAATGGAATAAACACGTAGCTGAATATCGTTCACTAGTAAAAATAACCCACAGGATCTGGTAAACTGTTAACTGTTGATCACGCATAAAATCATCTACTTCAATCTTAACTATGAATGACTTCATTACATTTTTTTTTTTTAATTTAAATGAATAAAAAATGTTTGCAATGCTTGATGCAGAGATATGTGTTTTCGAGAACAAAAAGTCAAACAAGTATAAGTAGTCTCCGACCGAAATAATCGTATACAAATATTTGCAAGAAAAATGAAGAAAACAAAACAATACAAAAAGCAATATTTCATATCAATTTCTATTATGTTGACAAAGACCACCCATACTCTCGATTTCAAAATGCGACTTGACAACTGTTGCTACAAATGGACAGCATTATAGGTACTATGACATTACACAATATTATTAATATTGATATAACGAGAAAATAACTTGATTTCTAAAACGACAGTTGAATTCGGTTGATTGTCACATTGTTCGTAGTGCAAACAATCGATAATGATAAGGGTGGTGTTTTACAAACAAACAACTGCAACAATGCTATATAACACTTGTCACCGTTTCTGCTTCACATTATTAATCTTATAATGTTGCTTTTTTCTCTCGGTTATTTTTCTCTGTCACCCATGATTGCATATGGAATCAATAAAAGTCAACGGCAACTCACAAATACAAATCGACATATGCATATGCACATTATCTATATTATCATTTCCATTAGATAGACCTTGTGGTAAAAGTTTTACAACATTTCTTTTTTGTTTATCATCACATTAATGCACATTTTCAACGCGTTGCTTTTTAATATCAATTTAATTTGTCACATCGTAAAATGACTTTTGAAACCAGGTTCATCAAAGAGTCTTAACAAACTCGTTCTATTCGTATATCACAATTGATGTTTACTTAAGCAGGCTATGCTAATTTTATCTGCAGTTTGAATCATCAATTCGTTTCTTTCCTTATGTTTGTAATAAAATGTAAAATTTTCACGAAAATTGCCACCCGCAATCCAAATTCGATTGCTCATAGTTGCCGTACTCAAAAATATCTTGTCATTCAATCATTCAATGTAAATTTTATTGAAAAAAATATCACACTGTGCAGATTTTGTTTTATTGCACAAAATTTCCATCGCTTATCGACCGAGCTATCGACCCCGGAAAAAAATGTGCAATAATATCCTTTTTTGATCAGATTCTCTTCCGTAGATTTACTCAGCCAATCAATTTACATTCGCATACAAAATTTTATACATTTCTACACCGTAGATCTCAGCGAAAAAAAAAGTTGTGTAGAAAATCAAATGACATCAAAAAAATGTACACTGTACAGGCAAAACGTTGATCCAATTTAGTTGATTTAGAGTGCCATGCTCGGTGATGTGAGTGTTTGTATGTGTTTGTATCATTATAATTTTGGTATGGCATGAAATATACGATAGCAAAGCCAAGGCTTGGCGAAACATTTATTATTACCATAATGGATTTTTGCTATTTATAAGCAAAAAAAAAGATTTTTTTTTTGCAAACTACCTCCTATGCTTGGGTATCTCTTGTCGAGAGAGTATGCTTGTGCACAATATGTGATTAAACGAGAACATGTAATGATCGGTATGCGGAGAATAGTTTGCAATTTTGTTTGAGCTATTCACTCAATTTAGTGCAGACGCCTTTACAAGTTTTGTATATATTCTCGTGTGGAAAGACATTTCCCCACTGAATCCAATTTTACTTTTCGTTGTAAGGCACCACATAAAGCCGCTACAACGTTAGTAAAATAAATATTTGCACAAGAAATATGCACATTTGATGATCGTCTGGTTGTCGAGATCAAGTGAATAACTCGGGCAGAGCTTGGAGTCCAAAAACAACAAACAAACAAAAAATCGAACGTATGATTTTTTTTTGCCAGCAAGTGAAATTAATTAATTTCACTTCTTCAAAAACACGCAACGGATGGAATATTATTAGCTGCAATTGTTGCCACTGCATTGCACTGATCTTTTTCAGTTATTTTATCTGTCTCTGTTTGGGTCGATTTCAATATGTGTACTTTTTTTGTACACTTCTTTTTGCAAGATTGTTGATTCTCCTTATAAATATAGGTGTGCAACGCATGTGAGGCGGTTTGGTTTTTTTTTTTACATCGATGACTGTGCGACAATGGAAACAAAAAGGAATATAAAAGAAATTACAATGAATACATATGTGTTTATGAAAATTCCGACAAATGTACGGAACGAATGAAAGAAGGCACGCAAACGAAGGAAAGAGTTCAATTTGAGCTACTATTTTATCGAACATGAGCATCATTTAGTTATTTGCTTTACGGCTACAATGAAAGTCACATGTGCTTGGTGCTTTTATCTCTCTCTTTCTCTCTTTCTCTCTTCATATTATCGATGTTGTACTATAAGTATACACCGTACCGTAAGCAAAGCACTATATATTGAACACGCACAAAGACAAACCGATCGTGATCATTTCTTTTTCGTTGTAGTATGCACGACAGTTTTTTGATCGGTGCGCCATCAACCATGTGCGATCATGAATTGAACGGAAACTGAATTTGGTATGCTCGTATCGTTTTGTGTAATGAATAAGATCTACAACATTGCTTTATTGTGTGGTGTGTGTGTATTTTTTCGGTAGGCTGGATGGATATGTTTCTTTTTCGCTTTCGTTTACAAATTCAGAATGCGTTCCTGGTGAACTGGTATAACGTCCGCGCACGCACCGAATACAATTCACTGAGTAAAATTCACCAGAAAATTGATATAAAATAAAAGGAAATACACTTGAAAGCAAAAACAAAAATGTTCCATACATTCAAAATTTAAACACACACGGAATTCGGCAAGTCAGTCAATCAGTCAGTCATTTATGGGCAAAAGAAGCTCAGGTGAAATGACAGAATTAAAACTGCAATAAACGGCAATCATTATCAGCGCGCGCCCCATTAATAAATACGACCTTTGTAGAAAGTGACAAGGTTGCATCTCGATTTCATTTTATTACAGTTGTGAATGGACAGCTAAAGTTTGCCACTTAAAACCGGCGCTCATTTCATTTTCACTTCGATTACTCGCCAATTTTAAATGCAGTTGTACTAATTTTGCAATTTTTGGCGATTCCGGAATGCCGCGAGAATGCGCTTTCGGCATATTTTGTATATCGTTTTAAATCGTAGTCTGTTGTTGTTGTTTTTTCTCCTCTTTACTGACATTTTATTTTCTTCTTGCAACCAAATCAAAAAGTGAAGTCACAACAATTTGGTGACAAGGAACTGATCGCATCTCAATTGTTTCCTCTTCATTCTTCATTTTAAGAAATTTCTCTCGTCTCAACTAGCTCTTTCTTGCATTCATTTCTTTTCTTCACAAATTACGATAAATAATAATAAAAATAATAAAAATAAAGATCGAGTAAATTCGCCAGACATTTATTTAAAATAATTACAGACATTGCAACGATTGTAGCGAACAGGTAAGCAAAATGCATGCTCTTGTATGTTGCTTGCACACATTAAGAAACCGTTAAGCAGATTATACGCGCGAACAACAAATCGCTATAAATTATGAAATGCTTTATCATCATAAAAACAAAACTAAAAATGAAATAAAAATAAAATAAAATTTAAACGGCTTGGTGTTTTATTTTCTGAAATTGTTGGTATTGGCAATTTAAGCAAATTATGTTGTTTTTAATTTTTATTAGCCGAGATGACGTACAAATACAGTGTTTGTGAAAAATGGAAGAAAGACAAGTTGATAACGAAAAAAAAAATGCAAGATCATCGAACTGCATCTGAAAATGAAAAATTGCAAGTTCAAGACGTAGAGTAATTTTTTTTTTAAAGCAATTGGTGACGGGTCGGATTTATTTTTATTGTATGTGAAACGATAAATCAACAATTGTTCAGGTACAGACTCGATGAAAATTAATGAAATCAAGTGAAACGAAGCCTACTATCCGGCAACATAC